CCTTAGGGATGTGAAAAAACAGCCCCCTGAGTGCTGCAAGTTTCAGCGCTGTAAAGTGGCAGTGTAGACAGCGCACCAGCGCTGGGAGCTACGTCTCTCGTGGGCGTGGTTTTTTTTACAGTGCTGGGAGAGCTCTCTTCCAGCGCTGGTGCCGCGACTACTTAGCCACGTTAAAGCGCTGCTGTGGCAATGTTTTAACATTGGTAGTGAAGACATACCCTTAGTGTCTGCAGACTGTACAGCTTCCCATACAGGCTTGACTTTTGCAGTGTAGATAGGGGCGTAAGACGCTACTGTCTGAATTAAGGTTTCTTATGTTGGTGATTTTATCATACTCAGAAGCCCATTCTTTCCGATGCACCGAGCTGCCCTCTCAGCGTGGAGGGGATGCTCTTTTCATCTTTGTGCCATTATCAGAATTGCTACAATCCCTCTTTCTGGCATTATCTTCCCTCCGATGTCCATAGACTTTAGGCAGACCTAAGTCCTGTATTAACACTTCTACATCTTGCCGTTTTTAACTATGTTCTTTCTTACGTTTTAATGATGTCTGCCTGAAGGCGCTACAGCAGCATAACTGATTGATTGATTGTATCAGAACCTTGCATGTAAGTTGCCTACATCTTCTACACTACTCTCACAGCTCTCTTCCACCTTGCTTGGTAGACTTGGCTGTCTGTATTGTATCAAGCAGTGAAAAGGGTTCTTGGGTGATTCTTAACTGATTTTCCCTGGCAAGACACAGGCTCGTTGACACCTCAGTGTTGCTTTGGTAATAATATGGGTCTCTGTGTCTAGGATAAGCAGCAAGACAAGGAATGGGTGGGATATTTTCACAATTTGCCAGATTCACTGACTTCACTGCTGGTGCTGCTGACTACTGCAAATAACCCTGATGGTGAGCAATCCATTCCAAAGTCATTCTCATATCCTCTCTCCTATTAACAATATAAAATAGTTGATGGAATGGATTCCATTGCTCCCCTTAATTTACAGTCTGACCCAGGGGTCGGCAACGTTCGGCATGTGGCTCGCCAGGGTAAGCACCCTGGTGGGCCGGGCCAGTTTTATTTACCTGCTGATGTGGCAGGTTTGGCCGATCGCGGCCCAGTGGGGCCGCGATCGGCCGAACCTGCCGCGTCAGCAGGTAAATAAAACTGGCCCGGCCTGTCAGGGTGCTTACCCTGGCGATCCGCTTGCCGAATGTTGCCGACCCCTGGTCTGACCACTATCAAGTGATCCTAAATATTCTTACTATTCTTCCATATAATGGTTCCTTCTGCAATTAGTGAGAAAACTGCAAGGGCTACTCCAAATTTGTGTCCTTTTTAACTCTTTAAAGCCTTTAAAGATTTCTCCAACTTCTGCCCCATTGAAACAATTTAAACTGTCATAGTTTCATTGACTTAAGCTATTACAATTACCCCAGCTAATTTGCCCCATGGTCTCCACCTATACCAGATCAGGATTTTAAGTGTTTGTTTCTTTCAGGCACAACATTCCTAATTCCCATTTGTTTTAAAACTTTTATACAGTGATGATTCCTGCATATTCTAAGAATCGAGCCTATTCTATCTTCTTCATACTCTTCACTGTGTTGGGTAAGTCACCTGTTCTCTTCAGTAACTTCGGATTTGTACACACTACCACTTATGTCAGCATAACTTATGTTGCTCAAGGGTGTGAATAAGCCACCCCCCCCGGAGTGACATAAGTTACATCGACCTAAGTGCTGGTGTGGACAGTGCTATATCGGTGTGAGAACTTCTCCCACTGACATAGCTAACGCTTCTCGTGGAGGTGGTTTTATTATGCTGACGGGCAAGCTCTCTCCCATCGGCCAAGAGCATCTTCACCAGACATGCTACAGCAGCACAGCTGCAGCACTTCTAGTGTAGACTAGCCTGTAGAGTGCTAAGTTACTTGTTAATCATTTTACCACACCCTGACAGAGGAACCTTAGAATTGGAGTTTGGAAAAGCTGTTGTTTTAATTTTTTTCTGGGATTTATAACCACAATAGTCGTCTTTCCTTGTGTTTCTTTTACTTAAACTTTGCAGTTTTATTTAACTCTGTGAAGTATCTTGAAGTATAGTTTTCATGAAAGATGCTTACAGCAATTTTTCTCATTTTTAGATAGGTTAGTCCATGACCTGTTGTTAGCTCAAACTTTTGTAGAGCCGTACATGCAAACTATTGGCAAATTTTATTAGTTGGGCTGGCGGCGAGGGCAAGAATCAGATATTTGTTGTGAGGAAACTAATTGTGTTGAATTTTAAAGTCACTTTACCAGCTTACTGTGCAACATATGCAAACATTGTTGTAATTTAATTCTTATTTTTTTCTATCAAAGTTTTAAGATGTAAAGTTCTAGTCAGTTGAAAAGTCTTCATTAGTTTCTGCATTTACAAATACTTCTGTCTTAAAACCTGACTTCTTGTTATAGCTCTGCTTATTGTTTAAGTGAGCAACAGAAATGTTGAGTTTGATTTCTCTCTTGGTGGCTATTGTAAAAATGTTGTAATGGCTCTGTTTTATGAGCTAGCAATATTCAAATCCTATAGGTCTGTTGTTTCACCAAAAAATGACTGTGTGTTTAGGTCCAGATTATTCATTGTGTGGCTTAGACTCAGGCAAACACGATATGATTCAAAGAAACTGAACTAAATGTCCAGTGGATCTCACTATATGTATTTCTTTTCTTAAAGGAAACCTGTTTCTGATGAACTTGCTGACAGCAATAATATACAATCAGTTTCGAGGATACCTTCTGGTGAGTAAAACATGCCTTTTTTGTGTGCTTCTATGTGCTAATCACACTATTGCTGAGCCATAAGATAGCTCTAAGTCTGAAATGCACGGGAGTGGAGTTTGAAATTAGCTGGTGTAGTCAAAGCGGCACAACCTCTTTGATTGGGGACACAGTTACAATACTACAAAGGCGTGTATCCTAATGTAGTATAAAGGTGTGTATACTAGTGTAGCTTCTTCCTGTAAGGAAAGAGGAGTAAGCTATACCCCAGTGTAACTGTGTTCTCGCACTAGAATTTGTACAGATTTAACTATTGTAAAAAATCTCCACCCCTCACCAAAATAGCTGTATCAGAACTCTGTGGCTCAGGCCTAGGTGTATTACTGTTTACGGTACCTAGCACAATAGGTCCCCTTTCTCGGTTGGGGCCTTTAGGTGCTATTTTAATAGATAAAAATAACAATAATAAAAAAATCACTGTTTTATATTTCTCCTGCATGATTCAGCATGTGAAATCAAGTCAGAAGTGGTGACTGGTCCTCACTACAAATCGTGTTACTATAACTTCTGCCTGTAAAGAGAACCTTTTCTCTCCATTTTATTTGTATTTTATGCTTAGACTGTATTGTGGCACATACTGTAATTTAAAGTGCAAACCACTGAACTTGCTGCAGAACTTGAGTTCCATGGAAGTGACTAGCCAGTCAATTACAAGGAGACATTAATCTGGCTTGTTGCTGAATCTTCATTCCCCCTTTGCCACCATTTATTCATTGGGTGGGGGGGGGGGGGAGAGTTACTGCCTGAGATACAGGTATATCCATGGATACTTAAATTCAAATAAAAGGAGTCTATGATGTATAAAGAATCAGTCGTACACTATAAACTCCTCTGCACCTTTCAGTAGTGCATTAAGCAACGTGGGGATTGTTCTCTCTTATCCTCTCCTCTAGGGGAGAGTTGTGTGTTCAGTGTAGTGCTTTGTTTTGGTTTGCTTTAAAATGTACATGCTGCTAAGTGTTTATATTGGAGAAGGCAGGTCAAAGAAACATGCCTTGCCCCTGGAGCAGGAGATAGTGAGACTTGTCATGGTCCTTAGCTCCTGGGGGAGTTTGTTGCACAGTCTTGGATGGACCACTGAGCATGCTCCGTCTCCTGCACAGACGAGCTTTACCTTATGTGTGTCAGTGTTGCCCTCCAGGTGAGGTGAAGCTTGGATCGCTTCAGCAGGAAGGGCAGTGAGTGCTAACTCAGAAATGAAAAATCATGAAACGGTGAATACAGGAAGAGGTATTAACACGATAAAGGAATAATGAATCCCACAGCATTTGACATGTTAGTGTCCCTCATTTTTGAGTCTCTTGCACGTTGTACCCACATGTGGTCCTTGGTAGGCTGAGAGAGAGCTATGGGTAAGAGTGAGTCAGTGAGAGGAATAGGGAAAGGCTGTCTCTCCCTCAAACAGGATTGGATATCAGGTTTTACACTCACTGCCTTTCCAGGTGAATGACTTTCAACAGTAAGTGAGGATGCTTGATTTGCAATGTAGGTAGTCTTGGGACTGTTCAAGATTGGTGACATTGAAGAGATAAGCTCTTATCTTACCTTAAAACTAGGGCTGTCAAGAGATTAAAAAAATTAATCATGATTAATCGCACTGTTAAACAAGAATAGAATACCATTTATTTAAATATTTTTGGATGTTTTCCTACATTTTCAAATATATTGATTTCAATTACAACACAATACAAAGTGTACGGTGCTCACTTTATATTTATTTTTTATTACAAGTATTTGCACTGTAAAAAATAGTATTTTTCGATTCACCTCATACAAGTACTGTAGTGCAATCTCTTTATCATGAAAGTTGAACTTACAAATGTAGAATTATGTACAAAAAAAGCTGCATTCAAAAACAAAACAATGTAAAACTTCAGAGCCTACAAGTTCACTAAGTCCTACTTCTTATTCAGCCAATTGCTAAGAAAAACAAGTTTGTTTATATTTGCAGGAGATGATGCTGCCCGCTTCTTGTTTACAATGTCACCTGAAAGTGAGAACAGGCGTTCTCATGGCACTGTTGTAGCTGGTGTCGCAAGATATTTACGTGTCAGATGCACTAAAGATTCATATGTCCCTTCATGCTTCAACCATCATTCCAGGGGACATGCGTCCATGCTGATGACGGGTTCTGCTTGATAACAATCCAAAGCAGTGTGGACCGACGCATGTTCATTTTTATTATCTGAGTCAGATGCCACCAGCAGAAGGTTGATTTTCTTTGTTGGTGGTTTGGGTTCTGTAGTTTCCGCATTGAAATGTTGCTCTTTAAAGACTTCTGAAAGCATTCTCCATACCTCATCCTTCTCAGATTTTAGAAGGCACTTCAGATTCTTAAACCTTGGGTCAAGTTCTGTAGCTATTTTTAGAAATCTCCCATTGGTACGTTCTTTGCATTTTGTGAAATCTGCAGTGAAAGTGTTCTTAAAATGAAGATCATTTGTTGGGTTATCATCCGAGACTGCTATAACATGAACTATATGGCAGAATGTGGGTAAAACAGAGCAGGGGGACATACAATTCTCCCCCAAGGATTCAGTCACAAATTTAATAAATGCATAATTTTTTTAAACGAGCATCATCAGCATGGAAACATGTCCTCTGGAATGGTGCTTGAAGCATGAAGGGGCATACGAATGTTTAGCACATCTGGCATGTAAATACCTTGCAATGCCAGCTACAGAAGTGCCATGCAAATGCCTGTTTTCACTTTCTGGTGACATTGTAAATAAGAAGAGGGCAGCATTATCTCCTGTAAATGTAAACAAACTTGTTTGTCTTAGGGATTGGCTTAATAAGAAGTAGGACTTAGTGGACTTATAGGACTTGAAGCTTTACATTGTTTTGTTTTTGAGTGCAGTTATGTAGCAAAAAAAACTACATTTGTAAATTGCACTTTCATGACAAAAAGATTGCACTACAGTACTTGTATGAGGTGAAATGAAAAAGACTATTTCTTTTGTTTATCATTTTTACAGTGCAAATATTTGTAATAAAAAATAATATGCACTTTGATTTCAGTTACAACACAGAATACAATATATATGAAAATGTAGAAAAACATCCAAAATATTTAATAAATTTCAATTGGTATTGGTGCAATTAAAACTGCAATGAATTGCGATTAATTTTTTTGAGTTAATCGCGTGAGTTAACTGCGATTTATCGACAGCCCTACTTAAAACTGCTGCCACCACCTTCTTGAGCATAGATCTTGGAAGATGGCTTTTCGATTGTCTCTGAATTAACCTGGGTCCTTGCTTTTATTATCATAGAAGAGCTTTTCCTGGGACTGATTTATTGTATTTTGATGTATAGTACGCTTTTAGGGGGAAAGAGGCTGCCAATCCTAGGCCATTAATTAAGAATATGTCAAGTGAGCACTGTGGGGTTGAGGAGAAGGAAGAATGAATAAGAAATCACAGTCTGGCAATGATTAAGATCAGTTCTTGGTATCTCCCACAGCATTCACTCTGCTTCCTCTTTCCCCTACTCACCCTCTTAATTATTTTTCTTTAGAACTGCAGGAGGAGTTCCCACGTAAGTGCCTCTTTATACGAGGTGGTTGAGCAGGCCTTTGTACTGCCCATGCTTCCTTGATATTCCTTCTTCAGATCATGATCTCTCCTCCCATAGGGAACAATCCTACCATTTAGATATAGCCCTGCCGAATTCCTCCTGGTGCTCAGAAGTGCACAGAGGGAATGTTTCTGCTGCTGTGCCCCTCGTGGAGTGCAGCATACTCCCTGCGATACCCAACTCACTCCAGGAACCTGTGCAAAGGGGATGTTGCTCCCAGGCTCTCACACCCCTTTGGAGGCAATGTGCGCTCTATGGGGAGCAGTCTTGGGCTTTCCTTGGGGGGAGGGGTCTGTGAATGTGACAAATACAAAAAGTGGGGAAATGCCGTGCATATTCCTTTCCTGCTCACCACTCCCCACCTGTCTCAGTTTCCACTACAGAAAGATAGTGGAGAGACGCACATACTGACCACGACGGTTGCTAGTGTGAAAAAGTCTTATATAAAAAAAGTACAGATAAGACAAAAATGGCTAGGGGCCTGCTTTTGGTGGGATCTTAACTGACACTGTTCTTCTACATGGATGGTGGTGCACATTTATGCTTTTGGATACTCTAATACCACTCATCACCTGCACATTCTGGAGTTAGTTCCCCCAAAAGTGTGCTCACACCAATGGATGCCAGGGCTTGAAAATCTGGCCCTGGATGTTTATGTGAACTCAGATGGTCCCCCATTTTCTTTCCTTTTTACTGTCCAATCTCAAGGAAGAGGGGGTAGGAAATCTCCAAAACCAGCCATGATTCCAGGGGATGCCAGAAGGCCAGTGTGTTCTCTGGCTAGAAGTCTTGGTCCTGGGGGCGGGGGGGGAGGGGTTGGGTGGCATTCTTCTCCTCTGTACCCTGTCTCCTTGCTCATGCCTAGCAATTGCAGGACTCTTATGTCTTCTTGCTCTCTCTGAGCAATATGTCTTCTCTTGGACTCCACTGATCTCAGCCTTGAAACTTTTTAAAGTTACTCTTTAAACTGCAGAGCAAATATACAATTGGACTCTGTAGATGGACTGCGGGTGGCTAGTGGTGGGGGAATTGGCAGAGAGTGGGTGACCTGCCCTTCCTGAAACCCACTCGTAACTGAACTGAAATGGCTCCTTTTGAGGCTTGCAGTTTGCTTTGGTTTGAGAGATGGGCAATGACTCAGGGCACTCTTCATTTCAGCTACGCGAGTTGCCTCTGTAATAGCTACTGAAAGGTAACTTCGCTCCTCTGTATTGTTTTCACTGTATAGAAATCGGTTCAGTCCTCGCTCTTGAGGAGACGTTTAGGAATCCGGGCTGCATTCGAAGTGCTGTGCTCCCTGAAGGAGAGTCCTGTCAGTACAAATGAGTAAGTGAAGAATGCCACAGTGTATGTTGCTGTGGGGGAAGAGAGCAATATTTTCCCTCCAGTTGTGTCTGTTACTTCTCCTGAGATTCCCTTTTTTGGGGGGAAGACCGATTATCACCCATCTGTTTATTTAATGGTCTGTTTTTCTGGCTGCCTCTCTCCTGCACCCTGTTATATTATATCCTTATCATTTAAACACAGTTCTGAGGCTCTCATTTGTGTCTGTCTTATAGGTGGGGGAAAATGGAAGCCGGTTTTTGCTTTCACACCTAATCTTCCATGTCTGTTGTAATTGCGTTAACAAATAAGCACAGGGCTGGAGTTAAGAGCAGCACTTTGATGGTGCCTTCATGAGAGGCAGGAGAGACAGATTATATTTCAAGATGTCCGTCAGAGTTAATTGTCTCCTCTTTTTTTTTTCTTTAATTTTATTTTTAAACAGATTGTGTGTCAGTGCTAATACCTTACTACAAGTGCTTCAAAAAGTTGAAATGGATTCTTGCTGCAAGCAAGCCATCTTGAGGGTAGGAATCTGATTTTGTTTGATTAGGTTTATATCAGTTCTTGTTAAAGGTTCTGGCCTGGTAGCCCTGGAGACTGAAGTCTTCTGTTTAACCACAGAGCAGGTCTGAGAGTGGTCACATCAGCAGAAGCTTCTTCCCACTGCCCTGCCAATATCGGAATCCCCTCTGAGTGTGAGAGCAGAGGTCAGGTCGGGCTGCAAAACCATTTATTTCTTGGCCTTCTTGCTGAGACTCTGAATGGTGGTGTGGAAACGGTGTGTGTCCAGTCTGCTCTCAGCTGGTCTTTGACCACCAAACTCATTTCTCTTATGAGTTAGTGAGCAGCTGTCTGATGAAAACAATTTTTGGTCACTACTGGCAAACTCAGTTTGAACCAGTGACCGAGGGCAGAAGGCTTTATTTCTTATTACAACCCCCCAGAGCCATTCAGCCACTTCTTAGTGTTGTTCTAGTTTGTTTTCATTAAACATTTTTGTTGCAAATTCTTTTTTAAAACACTATCTTAGAATATCAGTTTTTTAGGATTTTATAATGGAAAAGGGGCAGCTGTGTAAAAATGGTAACTAGATCAGTTGAGCAGACTATTCTCAGTATAGTGTGGCTCTCAAATCTTCTCTGAAGCCATTGACCAGATGTTAGGGTTACTCACTCTTCAGGGTAGTGGGCAGGGAGGGAGGAGTTAGTGTTGTCTCTCCCATGTGAAGGGACAGAGAAAGCAAAGGTTAGTGAAAGATAATGAGACTGTCCCAGTGTCAGACTTGCTCATTTGAATGCTTCAAAGCACATTTTAGAGCTAGAAGGAGAGCAGACCTAGATGTGCTAGATTGGAACATGGCTTTCTACAGTGTTTTCTTCTAGCATTTGAAATGCCCATTTCTAAGGAAAACCAGGACTAAACTATGGGTGATAGCATGCCCATGGTTAGCTCCTTTTTGGCATTCGTGGGAGGCTTAAGTTAAGCAATGTGGTTGAAAATCTACTCCCTAAAGGCCTGACTTCTGTCACAGTTCAAATTCCAATTTTTAATAGTGGAAGACGTAAACTCTGATCCAGGGATGAACTTAACAAACCAGCAGTGCATGTGTTCTGTCACAGACATTGTCACAACATCTTTAACAGTGTGACCTGGTAATGCCTTTGTGACCAGGTGCCTGGATGGGCCATGCTAAGAATGGGCAGACTGCAAGGAATAGGGCAGACAATCCCCAAAACTGGTGGTCTATTCTATAATTAGATTCATAGACTCATAGAATACCAGGGTTGGAAGGGACCTCAGGAGGTCATCTAGCCCAACCCCCTCCTCAAAGCAGGATCCCCAACTAAATCATCCCAGCCAGGGATGACCTTAAAAACCTCTAAAGAAGGAGATTCCAACACCTCCCTAGGTAACCCATTCTAGTGCTTCACCACCCTCCTAGTGAAAAAGTTTTTCCTAATCTCCAACCTAAACCACTCCCACTGTAACTTGAGACCATTACTCCTTGTTCTGTCATCTGCTACCACTGAGAACAGTCTAGATCCATCCTCTTTGGAACCCCCTTTCAGGTAGTTGAAAGCAGCTATTAAATCCCCCCTCATTCTTCTCTTCTGCAGACTAAACAATCCCAGTTCCTTCAGCCTCTCCTCATAAGTCATGTGTTCCAGACCCCTAATAATTTTTGTTGCCCTCCGCTGGACTCTTTCCAATTTTTCCACATCCTTCTTGTAGTGTGGGGCCCAAAACTGGACACAGTACTCCAGATGAGGCCTCACCAATGTCGAATAGAGGGGAATGATCACGTCCCTCAATCTGCTGGCAATGCCCCTACTTATACAGCCCAAAATGCTGTTAGCCTTCTTGGCAACAAGGGCACACCATTGACTCGTATCTAGCTTCTCGTCCACCGTAACCCCTAGGTCCTTTTCTGCAGAACTGCTGCCTAGCCATTTGGTCCCTAGTCTGTAGCAGTGCATGGGATTCTTCCGTCCTAAGTGCAGGACTCTGCACTTGTCCTTGTTGAACCTCATCAGATTTCTTTTGGCCCAATCCAAGGAACAAAACAGCTTCTGTAACACCACATTGGTTAACAAGAAGCTATATACAGTCCCCTTTAAGCAGTCCAGCCCTTGGTCTCCATTTAGATAGGCAAGTCTAGTATAGTGAGTGTTTACTGAAAGCCTGATTCGCCATATGTGATGTTCACCAATCCCAAAAGGACCGGATACTTATCCCCAGGACAGTATGAGTCTCAGATCTTACCCAATATTCACACAGATGCCAATCCTTTAATGACTAGAAAACTAAAGGTTTAAAAATAAAAGGAAAAAGAAAGAAGAGAGTTGCAGTGGTTAAAAGATCAATATACATACAGATATGTGTAAAGTCCTTAGGTCAGTTTTATAGCAGAGATGGTGAGGCTTCTGATTAGTAAAAGTTTTTCTGGAATCAATTTAAAAGGTTATAGTCCAATAGGCAGTCCAGGAATAGTCTGTTCAAGTTCTTCCATGAGAATTCCAGGGTAAACCTGGAGACCTCAGTCTTATGGCTTAGATCTTCCATGTTAAAGTTTTAAGCAGACCTGAGATGTCAGGGTCAGGTCTGGGGCTTTCCTTTATAGCTCCCTAGCAAGCTGACAAACCTCTTGTCACAGCAAGACCTCCCTTGAGATAGAATAGGCAGTGGAGATTATTGCTTTGTAGCTAATCTTCTATTTCCTATGCATACAGAGGTAAACTAGTTGCATTCATTCAATAAAGGCAGTTAGCTGGTACTTCATCATAGCATAGATAATGAAGTTGAAGACAATATAGATAATATTATTAGTTTCTTACCCTATAGTAAAACCTCAGAACACCAGAGTTATGAACTGACAGGTCAGCCACAGACCTCATTTGGAACTGGAAGTATGCAATCAGGCAGCAGCAGAGACCAAAAAGAAAAGTAAATACAGTACAGTACTGTGTTAAACGTAAACTACTAAACAAATAAAGGGAAAGTTTAAAAAAAGATTTGATAAGGTAAGGAAACTATTTCTGTGCTTGTTTCATTTAAATTAGGATAGTTAAAAGCAGCATTTTTCTTTTGCATAGTTAAGTTTCAAAGCTGTATTAAGTCAATGTTCAGTTGTAAACTTTTAAAAGAACAACCGTAACGGTTTGTTCAGAGTTACAAATGTTTCAGAGTTACAACCCATCTCCATTTCTGATGGTTCATAACTCTGAGTTTCTGCTATATCTTACATTTTTGATCTTAAGGTTAAATGAACCATCTGCATTCATAATATAAAGCAATTAAGACACCAAAGGGAATTAGCCTCTACAAGCTAATCTGGTGATTTTGTTAAACTTCTAACAATATATAGATAAACACAGATAAATACACTTAGCATCTACCCTTGATTTCTGTTACTATAGATAAATGGGTTAATGACTGCTGGTCTTTGAAATTCACATACAAGTAGATTGTCTTGATTACATTTCAACACCTTTTGTTAAATTGTTATGGGTCATACCAAGTTGGCTTTTCTGTCCATGTCTCAGCCTTTTCTAGGGACACTCTCTTGCAACACATATTGCATATGACAGCTTAGGAAAGTACATTGTATATGAACATATGTCTGTGAAACTCTGCATAAAGCAAAATTAAAGACTCTTGAAGTAGGTTTAGTTAAAGTGCAGCAGGAGCCAGATGGCACAAATATGCTTGAAATGAAATGGAGGTTGGGGGGTGGGGGGAGGAAGTATATATATTTTGTTTCCCTTGGTTGTCAGTTCTAGGCTCAGTTACTCAGAGCAGGATGTATGTGGGGGAATATAGAACAGAAGGTAGACAGCTAAATCCATAGTTAGCCAACTCATTCCAATGGGAGATCAGCATCAAAGTCAATCACACTATTGGTTAAGTGTTTTAGGTACCTATGTTTTGAAAGTTTAGAGTCGAAGGCAGTGGTTCTCAACCTGTTTATCATTGAGGGCTGCATATGCAGCTCTGTGTGTGTTATGTGGGCTGCACACAAACAATATATACACTACCTGTATGGCCCTGAGGATGTCACATGGACTGCACAGCTGTGTGCTGGTTGGGCCGCAAGCAGGCTGCAGGTTGAGAACTATTGGTCGAAGGCTATGTCTATACTAGAGAGCTTACAGTGGCACCAATGCAGCTGCACCAATGTAAGATCTCTAGTGTAGCCGCTCTGTGCCAAAGGGAGAGAGCTCTCCCGTTGTCATAAGTAATCCACCTCCCAATGGGGGTCCCTTTCCCACCCCTGTTCCGCCCCTTCTGCCTGTGGCCCCGCCCACCCCTGTTCCACCCAGGGTCCCCCCATCCTTCCGCCCTCCCCACTGCAGTCCCGCAACCCCTTTATCTCCTTCTCTCCCCCCCACCCCCACTGTGGCCCCAAGACCAGAGAAGCTCTATTCCCGCACCACGGCCCTGGGACTGCAGTGGGGAGTGAGAGCTCCTCCTGTCTCAGGGCCGCAGCAGGGGTCCGGGTGCAGGGGCTTCCCCTGCCATTCCCTCCTTCCCCCCGCCCCGTGCTTCTGCAGGGGACCAGGGTCGGGGCGCTGGGGCTTCTCCTGTCCTGCCTGCCTGGCGCTACTGCTGGAGAGCAGGTCGGGTACGGGGGGCTTCCCAGGGTGGGGAGCTTCCAACATCCTGCGGCTGCTGCCAGGGACCGGCTTGGAGGACGATGGGGGCAGGGGGTGGCTTCCCCCATCCCGTGGCTGCTGCTGTGTAGTGGGGTTGGGGCGTGGGGGCTTCCCATGCTGCCTGGTGGCCAGAGCTCCTGGGCACAGGCCCCATTGGCCCAGTGGCTAATCCACCACTGGTCCTAATACAGTGCCTTGTCTACTGGAGCCTGCTGCCTCCCTGAGTACTGATATAGTCTTCAGGCATCTGCCCTCCCTACAGATATATTAAACACAGATGTTGATTTGTGTTTCTCTTGTATGTAAAGACAGTTCGGTCATGCCCTCATGGCATACTGTCAGCTGCCCTGTTTCAGAAACTCTTTGATGAACTTGACAAAGATCCTGTTAAACAGGTATGTGCATGACAATTATTTATATAGTACTGTTAATAATCTGTGCAGTTCTGTACAACAGTAAATAGTAAGCTTTGGCTGTGAAGACATGAAATTGAGCAGACAGTACATATATATATGGAGCGGTGAAGAGTCATCGATTACACGGTGTGTTCACTGTATTATTCCTAAATGGTTTTTATAGTGGCAAATTCCATTGATTTTCAGTCAGATGGCCACTTTTAAAGTGTTGAGCCTTAAAACATTAAATGCATCTCCCGAAAAACTTATCCAAACAGAAGCCAAACAAAAATGTTTGTAATGCTTCTTATCTTGGGAATTCTTAAGTGATTTGACTAAGCAAAATGGGTGTAAATGTTCCTATCTTAGAAGATACGATTAGTAATAAGCAAGTGGAAGATGAGTTGGAGAGAGACTTCACATTTCCCCAAAAGTTCGTTTGTAAGTTAGCTGTTCTCTCTTATAAGTGCAGGAAACTCAAACTACCATGTATAAACTTTATGTATAAGTGTCTGGGCTGTGCTAGATGAATTAAACCATTTCACATTAAAAAAAAAAAATACTGTCAATAGCATTACATCGAAGAGCATTTATTCAGTCTCCTCATCAGTTGGTCTCTAGACCAATAAATACACTAGAAAGGATCAATACTGCAAATTTATAAGTATTGTTTCCATGGAGGAATAACAAGAAGATGAGCATATGGTGCATTATTATTTAAACACCATTTTTGATCATTAGAAGTGCGTAGGGGAATTAACTAAAAACACACATGGTAAATAGGTTTGTGATGAAATTTGTGAGGCATTTTAAAAGTTTTACCATCATGAGACAGTCCCATTTTAAGGTAATTCATTGTCCTCACATGTTTATTTTTTGGAGGACGATGTCAAAGCCTTCCTCAATAGAAGTCTTGCCTCACAGTCCTTGAATGAAGTCAGTTTTGCTTCTTGGCTGCCAGTGAAACATATAATCTTAAAGCTTGTCTGCACACAGCTGCATTGCTTTTTAACTTAAACTGGTTTTAAAAATTTCTGATAAACTGGTGCAGACCCTTGTCTGGACACTCATATTTTGGTTTAAGGTGGGCTTACTTTGGTTTAGCTTAAACTGACTCCTAATCAACATAAGTTAGATCAAAATAAACTTGTCCTAAACCAAAATAACAGCATTCACGTGGTTTTTGGCACCAATATCACTGAATTGGTTTAAAAATCACACCTTTAGTTAAACTGATACAACTTTATGTGTAGACCAGGCTTTAGGAACAAATTCAGTCCTGCCATAAATGTATGCAATGTTTCTGAAATTTGAGCTCTGTGGAATTTTGCTCCCTGCTTGCATTGGGGCTGAGTTTATCCTTTATTCTTCTCTTAAATTGGGCCTTTCTCCCTACTCCTCCTAACAAAGGTTTTAGACTCTGAATCTCAAAAATGACTGTTCTTTTCTTTTCAGCATCCTCCCAAACCAGAGTACCAGTCTCCTTTTCTGCAGAAAGTGCAGTTTGCTTTTGGCCATCACTTCTTTGGCTACTTAGGGAATGTAGTAGCACTAGCAAACATCATTTCTATATGTGTAAGTATTGATTTTTGCATCAGAAACAGAACAGGATTTAGTTTTGTACATTACTCTGCATTCCTACCACCACCTGGTGTAGAGGTCTCTATTATGCATTGTTTAATCTTGCACAGAATATTTAAAACTAAGGAATAATTTCTCTGTTTGGAAAGGAGTCTGCAGAGTATAATAATAACTAGCTCTTGCATAGTACTTCTAATTAGTAGATCTCAAAGTGCTTTACAAAGGAGATCAATATCATTGCCCCCATTTTACAGATGGAGAAGCTGAGGCACAGAGAGGTGAATAAGCAATCGTATTTTTTTTCTTAGTTTTTAAAGTGCCCTACTATCTCGGAGCTGGGGGGTGGGGGTCGGGAGGAGCCCATCTTGATTTTATGTGGTGCATTTTTGCTCTCTAGGGTACAGCAGCCAACTGTTGATTCACCAGAGGTTTTTTGTTTTTCCAGGTCATCTTGGTAATGGATGCAGATAAGCAGCTTTCTGAACGGGATGACTACTTCTTGGGGGTAAGAAGTATGAACGTCTTATGTGGTTGCTGTTGCTCCTCAAAGCTTAATTCTAAGGATGTTCCTCATTTTACACCTTCTAGGCTATAAATTGTTTTTTTATCCTGTACTATCTGCTGGAAATGCTGCTGAAAATACTGGCAATGGGATTTAAAAGATACTTATCGTACCCAAGCAATAGATTTGATGGACTTCTGACTGTAATTCTGCTGGTAAGTTCATGGGTAACTTCCGCTAAGTTCTTGAAAGTGAGTTTCTAGGATGACCCAGATCTAATGTCAACATTATTTGGTTGAGTCAGAGATATAACGATTTATACAGTCTTGGCACATGTGAGAAACTGATCAATATATTTTCATATTGAAATTAAATTTTGTCTTGATCCTTGTATCTCAGAACAATGCAGAACCTTTAGCGGACAACATTATGGAAGCATTTTTCACTATTACTTGTTGGCATGTAGCTTTCACTTGGTCAAAAATTTACCCTTCCGTGATGAGATCTATTTGTTTATATACACTCAAACTGTATTGATATTCCAGAATATCAATAGATATATTTTACCCCTCATTTTGGAGATAGACATTTGGAGTTGTGAGCGTCTCCATACACAGCCTCCTCAGTGTTAAATCTGAAGAGCTCAAATCTCTCAAACAAAAATAACAATAAGAGGAGCTATTGCATTTTAGGGTACATCTACACTACCCGTCGGATCGGCGGGTAGTGATCGATCTATCGGGGATCAATTTATCACATCTAGTGTAGATGTGATAAATTGATCCCCGATCGCTCTGCCATCGACTCCTGTACTCCACCGCGGCGGAAGCGGAATTGACAGGGGAGCGGCGGCAGTTGACCCCGCGCCATGAGGACGCGAGGTAAGTCGACCTAAGATACGTTGACTTCAGCTACGCTATTCTCGTAGCTGAAGTTGCGTATCTTAGGTCTATCCCTTCCTCCCCCCCGGCAATGTAGACCAGGCCTTACATAATCTGTAATAACCTTACCATTTGGGTGGAGAGTAGCAGACTAATCATTCATGTAGTTATTTGATGAAAGAAGGGAATTCACTGGACAGCTGAGACCAGATTCAAGCCTGGTGTAATGGATTTACACTTCCTTAGACCAGATCTAAATTTGGTATTCTGTGCCCACATAAGAGCTACCATTTGATTTTTTGCTTTTTGCCCAACTATGTTTGTTTAGATAGTTTTTGCCCAAGAGGTCAACAGGTTGGTGTTTAAACTTCTGGCTTTAAAACAAGAAGCCTTTTCCAGTTTAATGTGGGGGGAGGAGAATTAATTGTTCATGCACGCTGGATTTAAATGGAGAACATTCTTCAGTTGCCCTTTGTAATCACCCAGACGTGGGAGCTGAAGGAAGTTAGGGCTTAAATCCCATTTAAATACAACAGAATCTGGGCACCTTTCTTAGGCTGCTCTGAAAACTTCCAATTCTTAATACCCTGTAAGATCTCTTAGTAGAACAGTAATAAAAGCTTTGTTTTGTTTATATTTTCAAAGTTGTTTCACTAATGGTATTCTCGAAGACTAGGTGAAAAATTCTAACTTATTCTAAATTCTAAAACTTGCCATTTTCAACATGGATTCCATAGAATGAGTTTCTCTGAAACTATTATTGCAGTTCTGAAACTGCTAATCTGCCTGCTGCTAGGTCCTATACCTAAACAAAATCCTGCGTGCACTTTAACTTATTTCTGTACAAGAGGTAAGTTTTACTTCCCACCACTGGATTTGGGTGGGGAGGCAGGAGTAATTTTGTGATCAGGTTGCTGAAATTGACAATTACCTAGTTTTATAGCAAGTCAAATTAGTGACTAAAACTCTTGTCGCTGTCCGTTTGGAAGAAGTTTGAGGTCAAGTTCTTGAGACTTTAATTCACAAAACAAACATCAGAGCTGCTGCAGTTTTGCCTCTTTTCTTTTGTAATAAAAGGTTTTGGAGGTCTCAACTTTTGCTGTGTATGGATTTCCTCATCCAGGCTGGTATGTATTCTTTGTAAGCATTTCTAGCTCTTTTGAAAATTATAGTATAAGGAAACTAACTGGTGTTGGAACTTAAAAGATCCTGGTCAAAAATTGCATGGCTCACATGTACTCTCTTTGGTTCAGTGTCCAGGGACAACTATTTATAAACATTGGTTGTTCTTATTTTTCAAACATGATACACATTAGGTATTTGTCTACATATGCCTGCTGTAACTTGCCAGACCTACTAAAAAAAAAAAAACCTGCCTACCATAACTTGCCAAACCTATTAAAAGCTACTTCAGTAATTCACCTCTGCAGTCACTAGAGGTCAGGCAATACAGAGAATTGGGAGAATACTGTTCTGTTAGATCTCTGACAGAATTCGAAAAAGCTATTCTGCTGTTCTGAGAGAAGGATGAGTATATGTACCGTGAGGGCTGGCTTAGAATGAAAGCAGAGCAGACTTAGAGAAATAGCTTGTGTCCCTATAGCGCTTTTCTAAAACTATATGAAATGAAATGTAATGTAATGTAGTGCAAACATTAACTGGTGCTAACCTTGTTCTGTTTCTGTAACAGGTTACAGTTAAACCTAACTGTATAGACTCTTATCACAACTTTCACTGTAGCTTTAAGTTTGAGTTTTGTTGTAGAAATAAGTTGATGTAGATACAGAATTTCTCACATCTCTCTCTGTGTATTGGAGTAAAAGATTTTTAAAATATATGCACACAGTAAGCAAGCAGTGGTTTAATTAATGCTCTTTGCTTCTCATGGCTCTTGAGTTAAGACTGTTCAGTGGCTCTTTTCCCTTAAGTAGAAGAAAAAGAATCATAGATGCGCCTTTAAAAATGGCCTGCTGCTGCAGCTGGCTCTTGCTTTAAACAGTCATACAAGAAATCTGCTTCCACTTGCTTTTGGAAAAAGAGTCTGTCCTCCATTTTCCTGTGACAGTCATTTGTAATGGACGCCGGCACTTACTTTCTTCCTTCTGTGTTGAAGGGCCAACTTTTAAAAGAAATTTTCATTTGAATTTCCCCCCACTTTAATGTAGGTATTTTCTGAGTCTTATTTCATATAGCAGTCTTTGAGTGGCACAAAGTAACTGGTCATTAGCTGTTATAGCTAGAAAAACTGTTTCGTTTGGAATGCAATTCGAATGACATATCAGAGTTAAATGTGATGGTTGGATAAGCTCTGTCAGAAGGATCTTAATAGCTGTGAACAAGCTATTTACAGTGGTTTCTCTGAATTTAATTAATTTCCCACACACATTCATCTGATAAATTTGGGCTTAACTTTGCCCTTTGATTTGTGAATGCACATCATTATTATTTGATACCATATTTGTGTTGCAAGAGCATCCATAGGCACCAGTCAGGGATCTGAGACTCTATTGTGCTAGGCACTAACACAGTCACCCACTCACCGCAGAGTGAAAGGAATGTCCCTGCCCCAAAGAACGTACAACCCAGGTGGATCAGAATGAATCTTGAGATGTCTGTTACAGTGTGTTAGCTAATTGTTGGGTCTGCATGGGTATATCTACATTGCAATAAAAGACCCATGGCATGGCCATGGATAGCCCAGGTCAGCTGACTAGGGGTAAGAGAATATAAAATTGCAGTGTAGATGTTCGGTCTCAGGTTGGAGCCCAGGCTCTGGGACCCTCCCCGCTCATGGGGTCTCAGACCCCAGGCTTCAGCCGGAGCCTGAACATCTACACTGCAATTTTATAGCCCCACAGCCTGAGCTCTGTGAGCCTGAGTCAGCTGACCCAGGCCCTCAGACTTATAGATTCATAGATTCTAGGACTGGAAGGGACCTCGAGAGGTCATCGAGTCCAGTCCCCTGCCCGCATGGCAGGACCAAATACTGTCTAGACCATCCCTGATAGACATTTATCTAACCTACTCTTAAATATCTCCAGAGATGGAGATTCCACAACCTCCCTAGGCAATTTATTCCAGTGTTTAACCACCCTGACAGTTAGGAACTTTTTACTAATGTCCAACCTAGACCTCCCTTGCTGCAGTTTAAACTCATTGCTTCTTGTTCTATCCTTA